TGGACAACTACCTGATCATGCTTGCACGCAACAAACACACTCCCTTGGGAAGGCTCCCGACCGTATTGCAAGCGCAACTCCTTCGTGCCCACAACATAGCCCAGTAGGTGGAGCGCAAGTTTCTTCACTTCGGCAGGGTTCTTTGTCATGAGTGATGCTAATCTCGAGACTGCGAAGGCAACATCAGGCCTTGTCCGACAAGCAAGCCAAATGATTTCACCAAGCATTGATTGACACGTAGCAATATAAGGGTTTACGAAACCACTTTTGGCAGGGGCTTTGGGGGGTCCACAGGCCATTTCCTTGAAATTGTTTTTGCGTGAACCACTGTGCAAGAAATCCACACCAAACCATGCTTTCAAGACAGAGTTTATTTCTCAACTTGGGTTTTGACATGTTTTTGCTCACGCCGGATGTCAACCTCGAAAGAATGTCCAAACCAAAACCAATCGTTTTTCATTGTTGTATGTCAGTTGCTGTCCCAGCCCAGCCCTGCTGCTGGAGATGGAGTTGGGGCTGGCTACGTGGTGAGGTTTTGAACCATTTTTCATGTTGCAGTAGCACGCTAGCAGCCTCGGGCTAGGTGAGCTCGCTTGTGTGTTGTGGTATTTGCTGGAAGAACCTAGACGCTGACCTGTGCGGCCGAAGTTTGTTCTTTGTGAGGTAGATGGAAAACAGAAAGCATTCACTAACAGGGCAAGTCCAGTATGAAATTTTTTTTGGCTAAAGACGAGCAGAGCAGTAGGAGCCATATGCTATGATTCAAACTTGGCGCAATGTTACATAGATTTGTGTAGAGATTTTACGGATAAGGTACTAGGGTACTTCGTCTAGGCCTAGGCACTTGTGTTCTGCGATGATGATAGTGCTCTTCGCCATGGTTTTGCTTTGGGTGTGCGCTGCGGCGCACCCCCGGCAGCGTATGACTGTAGATGGGCACGCGACACATTTGAGGTTGCCTCAGTCTGCTTGGTTGCAAGCTTTGGCCAAGAGTGCAGATGTGCACTGCTCTTGGGAGTTTCAACAGTTGGTGCAAGCCGAGAAATACAAGCTTGTAGGCCTGATGCAAGTGGATGTTTCTCACGTTCGACCGTGGAAGGGTTCTCTCACATCCTGGTCAAAGGAAGCCACGACATTGCATCAATACTACCAACACCCTCTTGATAGTTTTGTTGTCCAAGTCTCTTGCGCCTTCAAGCTAGACAGTCAGCAGTCCGTGTACCACAAGATGGACCTCAGATCAAGAGAGACTGCTGTCAACGGGTCCGATGGTCTATTTTGTCCAGCAGGCCTCAGACTGTCAACGCTAGGCTCTTTGTATGGAACAAAGGTGACCACCCACAATGCGTTTTCTGAAGAGTCACAGCCAATGCAGCTTCAATTGTTTTTGCAAGAGTGTGGTCTTGCTTCCCAAGAAGATTTTGACAACGTCGCAGCGTGCATGTTGCCGCAGCCTGTGGCCGACCTTGTCCTTCGCGGCCGCTGGCAAGATTTAGTTTGGATGTGTCGATGGGCTTGGTTTAAGAACCCTTTATCTCAAAGAGCTATGTGGGATGGGTTTAGGCTGCCCCCAAACTTAGAAGCGTTGGCAGGTAAACATGAAATTTTGCCTGAAGTGGAAGCTTTGGATTTGTCACGCCTTGATGGGTTCCTGAACGATCTTCGCCGGTGGGGCCCAACAATCTTGGCAAAATGCGAGTCAGCGGAGGAAGCTGCTGGTGAGGAACTGTTGTTGGGGTCCTATGCCACATGGATCCGGCAGCTGCTGGCATACTTCCAGCCTCACTTTTCCAATGATATTTCCCAGTTGCACTACAGCCAAGGTTCCAGGCCCAGGCTCTCATCCAATAAGCGCTACTCAGACTCGCAGTTGGTGGGGCTTGTGCTTTTTGCGTGGCACTTGAGAGACACTGCTGCTCTCGCAGATGCTCTCGCAGATGCTATTCCCAGCGCAGTGGAAGCTATTTTTCCCAGCTTTTTTTCCAAAACCAGCGTTGCTCAGGGCAAGCATGTCCTCAAACACAGCAAATCCTTGCTAAGGAGTGCCCAGCTTGGGGTGGACATTGCTTTAATGCTGGTTAGACGTAAGCGCCTGCAGGAAAGCGGTGCTGGGGCACGATATGGTTGGGCAGATAGTTCCGTAGTAGCTAAAGGGGATTGGTTAATTTCGAAGCATCAGGCTGTGATGGAATCCCAGTGTGTGGACCTTTGGGGCTCTTGGAGGGATTTAGTGCACTCACAGCCAGGCCTGGCCGACAGCGAGAATCTTGATCCTGCCATTGCCGAGCGTCGGCAAACCCTAACCAAGAACCTTATTGCTGGGATCCGTGTATTCACCCAACCCCCGCAATCTTTGGCCTTAGGCCTCACGGCTTTAGAAAGTAAGGTATCTGCCTTGTTGTTCAGTTTTTCTTGGAAGTCGGCAGTATGAGGGCCTTGCAGAGCTTTCTAGAAAGTTTTGTGTCGTTCACAACAGACATGGGGACAGAAATGGGTGCAGCATCCTTTTTAGTGCAAGACCTTTCAAAATTGTTCCCTGATTGGCTAGCAGAACCCCTCCTTCATATGGATGTTGACAATGGAGATGCAGAGGACCATTGCGCCTTCGAATCTTTCAAGCTGTTTCTGCCAGATGCAATCGTGATTCCAGGTGCATTGCATATTTGTAGTAATCTGTGCAAGGATGTTTCTGCCAAGCTTGGCCACTGGGAATGCTTTCTCACACAGCTAGGGCAGGTTGAAGCGTTGCTGTGCAATCGTGACAGGCGTGAGCGCTTTTTGTCAACCTGTGTGCCTGCAGGCAGTCAGGATCGTGCCCTCTTCCAGCATTTCAGTGGTAGTCTTTACGAGAAGCGTTGGGGCGCTGTTATCAGTTTTTTGCGCAAGCTATTTCCCTTGCTAGATGCTCTCCAGAAATATTGGAACCATGAAGCATTCCTTGAGGGGTATCGCCAAGAAGACCGAAACCATGACAACCCTGAAGAAGGTCCAGGCTTCGGCTTCCTTGCGTCAGACCTCACCGCTGTGCTTTGCAGCAATCAGTTCCATGTGTACTTGGAAATGGTGATGGCCTTGTTCAATGTAGTTGAAAACCTGTCTTCCTGGTTTGAGGGTTGCGCTTGTCACGAGCAGCATGTCAAGGTCAGGAATAGGCGGGCGCATTCACGAAAGGAGGGTGCGCAGTTGGGCCTTCAGGTTTCATGTCCTATGATGGGCAAACGAGCTCCCCAGCTCGCGTCTGGCTGCCTGCAGGATACTTTCGAAGAGTTGTCCTCCTTACACAAGGCTTCCTTGTTGAAGCGCATGTCCTCACGAAGTCTAAGCCCGCAGGAGGAAGCACTTGTCATGCAGGACTTTGAAGCAGGCCGCAATTATATTTCGCTGGGCTTGCAGGTCAAATTCGATTTTTGGGGCAAGCTGCCCTGGCGCCTGGCTGCGTTGGCGCATGAGGATGTTGGAGTGGCAAGGGCCGCTGCGTGTGACATGCTGTTGAAACGTGATGGGTTGGATGTGGCCGACCCAAGCCTTGTGCACCACCCAGTGACCTTGCGGTTTTTACATGATTCAAGTCCTTTGCGAGGCATGCTCCAGTCTTTTTCGGAAGGTGGTCCCATGAGTGATGTTTTGCGCACCGAGGTGTCCAAGCTAGCTTTCATGCCCGTAGTAGAACGCAGCATTGAGGCCAAGCATTCTTTGATCAGTCGCAGGGTGCAGAAACATTGGAGGTCAGGCCGCATTGTAAGCTTGACTCTGCGGGTTCCAGATATCAAAGCAGAGATGGCCAGGGATGCCGCTTTTTTTCAGGAGCTGACTCAGGCGTTTGCACTCTCTCGAGATCCTGTGAAGGCTGCGCAGCAACTAGGGGTTCATGAGCATCCAGCTTTGGTGTCTGCGTGTTTCGCTCACACCCACAAGGCCAGCAGGGTAGGCATTTTGAACCGCATCGTGTATCGTTGCGACCTGGAGTCCAAGTTCGAGGCTCACTCTCAGGCGCGAGCAGAGCATGAACAAGTGGGAGGGAAGCGAGTTCGTTTAGCTCAGAAAGCTTTGCAGGCTGCCAAACCCAAGCCCGCTCCCAAACCTTTCCCCAAGCAGCGCCCCAGAATGCAGACAGCAGATGAGGGTTATGAGGCTATGCTCAGACTTGCCATTCAGGATCACTTTGTCAGAGTGGCTTCTGGTGCAATTAGTTCCCAGGTTTATTCCCTAGACCTTGCCCCTAATGAGGATGGTAGCTTGCCTTCCCTGATTCCCTTAGGCGCTGTTCTTGAGCGTGAGGTTGTCGTAGCCGGGTTGAGTGCAGTCCCTGGAGCTCAAGCCAGATGTTGAAGGGGAGGCTGAGGCGCCAGAAGACGTGTTGCGTTTTGAAGGTAATAGGGTTGTTCATTTCCAGGTAATCCATGCAGCGCCAAGCCATATGCGCACTGTTCCTCTTGCTGCAGCGGCAGGCACCAAATTAGGTAAAGGAGAGATTGCAGTTTCTGTTCACTCTCTGGTAGAGCAGGGGGCTGGTAAGCGGCACATAGCTTTAGAGCCAGACGTGCAGGCGGGGGGCACATGTGTGGCAGTCCTTTCCAACATTGCAGGTGGCAGCCTTGAAGTGTTGCAGGAGACATTCACACAGTTTTGTTTGGGGCCGCTTTCGTACTGTGTAAAGGGATTTAAGCCCCAAATGCCTGAACTTTGCAATGAGGCCATAACAAAGCTTGTGCGTGCAGGTGCCTTTCCTGATTCCAATGCTTGCTGTGAAGTCGCGTGTGAGGATGAGCAAACACCAGCACAGTGGGTGGAGCTTGAGTCAGCAAGTTTGGTCAAAGGCGTTTTGATGTCAGGGTCTGGAGGGGTCAAGCGTTACACATTGACACAAGTTGCAGTCGCATCCCTTCAAGTTTGTGTTGAGTTGGTTGAGCCAAGACTTGTGTGTGAGCCACGTACGCATTGGGCCCTTCAGGATTGCACCACCTACGAACTTGTCAGGAAACTTGATGCAGCAGGTTGGAGTTGGGAGCGTTTGCCAGCTTCTTCCGAGAAGAAACAGGCGCTGTGCTACTCAGTGGAGAGTGAGAGAAAGGTTTGGTACTCCGGCAAAGGTCTTCCACATCCCTTGTATTTGCAGTGCTTGCTTGAGGCAGAGAGGCTTGCTGGTCTTGGCGTTGTATCTATCCCGCACTGGAGCAGCAAACCTGCTGCTCTGTACAGGAAGCTTTTGGAAGGTGTTCAAGCGGTCCGTTCGCAACCTCGCCCGCGCTTGGTGTTACAAGATGATGTTGATGAAGGGGAAGGGGTCGCAGCGTTGCTTGATGCGCCAGATGTGTTGGTAGATGAGCGTGAGTCAGTTGAAGACGCAGTGCCGGATGATGCCCAGGAAGATGTCGAGTCAGCGCCTCCTGACGGCACTCGTGATGAACAGATACAAGAGTTGCTTGCCTTGTTTGAAGAAGATGAGGAGGTGGGAGGAGCCAATGATGATGATGAGGCTCTTGCAGTTGCTGAGAGGGTGCCGTTGCAACTTGAGGTTGTTGAGTCGGTCCGTGCTTCCGCCAGTCATGTTGTTGCGCCGCCAGTGTTGGGCATGGAGCCTGCGACAGGTGCTGAGTCTGTGCCACCACCTGAGCCTGTGCCAGGCAGGCGTCGTGCCAGCAGCGTTTTGGTGCAGCCAGGACATGTGACGCATTGGGGGTGCTTTAGGATTAGCCATCTTGTTGCCAAGCCTGGCTCCAGACCGTATGGTGCTCTAGAAGCTGTGTGTCCATTTCATAAGCGGGCAGTCAAGTCTGAGTGCAAGAAATACATATCCCATAAGAGCAACGATCAGCGTGCCAAAGACTTGGATTACAAATCCATTTTGCATTGGTGTGCTCAGGCTAGGACTGTAAACCGTCAGCGGCATCATGTGGGCATGAAGTTGTTGCCTCATGCGACAGTCGCAGAGTTGTCCATGGAAGTGCTAGAGTCCCAGCGCATTGATGAGGGCCCAAGCCAACCTGTTGTTCCTGATGATGAGCTGGACAAGGGGGATGGTGTTGCAACTGTTGCAAGTTCCCCTGCAGAGCCTGCTCAGGCCCCAGTCGTTAGCAGGCGAGTGACAGGCAAGCGCGCAGCTCAGACCACTGAGCCCAGAGGGTCACCTTCAGGACCTGCGTCATCATCAGCTGCGCCAGCTGTAGCCAAGGCTGCTGGTGACAGAGATGCACCATCATCATCATCATCATCATCTTCATCTAGTAGCTCATCCAGCCCTCATAGCTCAGATTCCAGTGCAAGTGACAGTGATTCCTCAAGCAGCAGCTGCTCGGCTAGCAATCTGACTGATTGGAAAACACGTCAAGTCCTTGCAACAAGTTGACATGTTTTGCTTGAAGCATTTTTGACACGCCATGACTGCCAGAACTGTGTATGTTTAGGGCAACAATTCTCAAAGAAGATTTGGGATTCATTTTCAGTTTTCAATCGAAGCCGCAGCAGCAAATCCAGAGGCGAGGCAGGAAACAAGTTCATTTTTGGCAAAAAACAGGCTGCAAAGGGATGATTTTTATTGATTTGGGAGGATTTGGAAGGAGTTTCTTGCTTTACACGCTTCGCGTGGGTCCCGAGCCCTTCTGGAAGCTGGGTGGTGTCGTGAGGCATTGGGTTGGGCGCTTGGCTCATGTTTGGGTGGGTTGGGGGTGGGCGGCTCGACCGGCTCGACCGTGCTCGACTCTTGCTCGACCGTCGCTGGGGGTGGGCTCGACCGGCTCGACCGTGGCTGCGGGGTGGGCTCGACCGGCTCGACCGTGCTCGATGCTTTGCTCGATCTGGCTTTTTTGCCGATTGTTGCAGAGGTGCGCCATGGCAGCTGGGTGGCTGGGGCCAGGTCGGAAGTAGGGGTTTTTAGAGAAAAGCCCGCACTTGAGACCAAGCGTCTAGGGCTTTGGTCAGAAGTAACTGTTTTCAGTGAAAAACCCAAACTTGTGACCAAGGGACTTGGGCAGTTTTTCAAGTCTGGGCGGATTTTTCGCATGGAGCCTGTTTTTCGAAACTTTTTGGAGCAGTTTTGGCGGTTTGAGCAAATTTCTGTTATTTTCAAGCCGGATTTCCAGATTTTTCGCCAAATGTGCTTCTGGTTTTGCTGAGGCCATGTTTTTGCTTGCGTGCCTGGGTTTTAGACAACAAGCCACGAAGCAGCAGACACACGCATTGGAATTTGGTTGCAATCTATTTGCTTGTCGGGTCAAGGAGATTCCTTGGCTTGCAAACGCCAGCAAGGAGTCCATGTACAACACGTAGAGTCATGCAGTCCAAGAGCAGCAAGTTCATAGCAAGAAGCCGGCAAGATGTGCGCAAGCAAGGTCACACAAGTCATTGGCTAGGGACCCGTGCTAGGCAAGCAGTATCATTTCAAGCCGCGATGGCAATGCCAATGAATTTGCCTTTCATGGATAGGTAACCCAGTACCTCAGCTCACGACAAGAGGTTGTTCTTGTTTCTCAAGTATTCCCCACTGAGACAGCCAGCGTGAACCATTTTTGCAATTGTCTTTTGCGTATAAGAGTTGTGAAGTCATAGTGATCATGGCTGGCGCAATGCCCTTGAGTTCTGATGTTGATGGCGAGGGTTGTCGATCGCCGTCACCGACAAAGAGAGTTAAACGGCAGAGGCAAGTGATCGTCTTTTAGACAGACAGCGTGCAATGGCAGTTAACATTTTTGATGTTATGGTCGGATGCTGGCTGCGGCTGTAGGTTTGAAGATGAGCCTAGCACACCAGAGCGGCCAGGCGTGTGTGATGTGGATGGGTCAGATCATGGCCCAGAAAGTTTTGAGCAAATCATGCAGTGGGCAAGCAAGCAGTTGACTTCATCCCTAGCCATGCTATCAGGGCAAGGTGTGATGCCTTCAGCAGTTTTGCAAGATTTGTCGCAGAAGACCTTTGTCATCACAACATCGTACAGTGGGATTGGTGTGCCAGAGGTGGCCCTTCAATTCTTGCAGGATGCTGTTTCGCAACATGGAGGCAGCATGCAGTTCTCAGTGCATGCAGCAACAGATGCAAGCCCGCTATGTCGCCGTGTGTTGGCAAATCATCACAGAGCTACACGAAGTGAACACCTGTTTAGTAATTTGCTTGAAAGAATGCCTCGTGGAACCTTGGAGGCTTTGCAGGGCATGCAGGCAAAGTACATGGAGAAATTCAAAAGGGAGATCTCAGCTGGCAAGGGAAAGTGTTCTTCCAAAACCAAAACGATTGCAGTGACCAAGTTTGGGCGTGCGTTTGTTGCAGAGGCTCTCAAGTGGCTGGAGCAGCATGTGCAAAGCAGAGATGTGATGTGTTACTGCTATGCGCACGAGCGAATGTGCCCTGTTTGGCCGACAGAGGGCAACAACACTTTGCATGTGGAGGTAGGCGGTAACACCTGCACACCATGGTCATCCTCAGGCAAGCACTTTGGCTGGCTTGACCCAGAATCAATTCCATGTGTAGCTTGGATCCACAGCTTGCGTCTGTCCGCGCCTTCCATAGTGGTCAACGAATGCACGCCCTTTTTTGATGTAGAGGTCCTTGAGCGGGTCTTTGCCAAGACCCACCACTTTGCAACGATTGTGTTTGGGCCCGCTGCCATGGGCATCCCAATCAACCGTGATAGGCGGTACACAGTGCTTGTTCGCAAAGACCGCTGCCAAGAGTTGAAGCTGCTTGCCGAAACCGATTTCAAGCAGCTTGTTTCAGCGCCTTTGGTTGCACCAGCCAGTTTGTTTTTGAGAGCACCTGCTGGGGCAATCAAGCAGCTCCTGGATCAGATGGGTCTTTCTCGAGGCTTGCCTCCTGCAGAGGAAGGGGATGGATCACGCAAAGCATCAATCCTGCTCAGCCCTTGGCGTCGGCAGCAACTTGAGAAGTACCAGAAACTGCTTGAGACATTGCCCAGGTTTTCTACAAAGAAGAGTGTGTTCATAGACTTGTCGCAGGATCCCGAAGAACGCCCCAGGGTCCACGAACTGATACCGTGTTTGCTGAAGAACACATTTCTGTGGTCAATGGAAGCCAAACGACCGTTGCATCCCATGGAGTTGCTCCTCGCAGTGCAGTGCTTGCCTGTTTTTCTGCCAGCCGACAACCATTATGCCCGAATGTGCCCGTGGTCTACAGAGTTTTTGCAAGGCCTATCCCGACCGCAGATCCAGCAACTTGCTGGCAACAGCATGGTTGTTCCGGCTGTTGGCAGTGTGCTCTTGTGCGCCTTGCTAAGTACAGTTGGCCCGCAATGATAGCTGAGCCAGTTTTGTTGCGCGTGTCAAAAGAAATCTGCTTCAAGCCTAGCTTTGTCACAGTGAAGCGCCAGTGTTGCATGTCGCATGATAGGCTGCATCAATCAGAAATTCCCATTCAGGTGCGCGAGTTTTTGTGTGTTGGTTCCCTCTGTCTGTCTGCCCTTTGTCTCTATATCCTTCCTCTCCCTCTCTCACTTTCCTTCTGTCATCTACTTCCTAGCCTCTTGATCTGTTTCGCCCCACTTGGGACTCTCTTTTCCTGGAAGTGCGAGCAACATTCCTGGCAGGTGAAATCAGTAAGGCAAGACCCATGCATCATCGCAGAGGTTGAGCGCTCATGTTGATACTTGAACAGTGTTGGCTTGCCTTAGCTGCTCCTTGGCGCACTTGAGGACCGGAGTGTGCCTTGTGCATGGTAGCTTTGAAACGCGGCATGTCCGAGTTCGTCTTGTGCCGTGGAGACTGCTGACTTGGAGGGTGCAGCTGCTGATGCTGGAGGCAAAAGCAGCAAGAGGTCTGGTCGCCACAAACCGCAGCTTGGGAAGAAGTTCAAGATTTGCCGTGCTTGCGGTGGGAAGAAGCCAGAAGCCGATTTCGCAGTGAATCAAAACATAGATTTTGATTGCAAGCGTGGCCTTGACAATATCTACAGGCAGGCCAAGGCTCAAGGTCCTGAAGCCTTGAAGTGGTTCGCTGAAACGCGAGCTGACCCTGTCAGATGCAAGAAGATGCTTGAGAGCTACAAGGTCGCGTGCAAGCAGTGGTGTGCCGGCAACAAGGTTGGCAAGGTTAAATGGTCCTTCACTCAGTACAAGGAGTCAATTGAAGCTTCTTCTGGAGTTCGCCTGTCGGAGAACCAGCAGATGATGTGGGAACGCCAGGCAGTCTTGTTCTGGCAAAGTGTAGATGGAGGTGCCTCGACTGAGGAGGAGGCCCAGGACAAATGGAACCGCATGGCTGCGAGGGTTGGAGACCCTGATGTCATCTACGATGAGAAGGGGCCCAAGCGCAAGCCCTTGCGAATAGCGGTCACTCGGGAGGACATGGTGTACAACTACAACGATGTTTCCAAAAAACGTCAGCTGGAATTTCAGGACAAGGCGAACAAGAAGAGTGATGATGCTTCAATCAGCAAAGCAGTCAAGCGTGTCCTCAGCAACCATGACAACATTGGCAGTAGTGCTGGAGGGCCTTTCCTGCCTGGCGCAGACGAGCTGAGCCAGATGATGGTAAAGGGAGGGGCTGGCAGTGCGTTTGATGCTGCCAATATCGCCGTGGGCAATGTGAAGAACCTGCTCCCCGATGATGTTGACATGAGCGACAATGAGAAGGGCGGCAGCAAAGACCTTGATGAGAATGACAAGGCCGAGAAGGGTGCGTCCGAGGATGAGGAGAAGGAGAAGGACAAGGACAGCTCCAAGTGGTTTGACAAGGACCGTGCAGTCAATGCTGCAATGAAGGCCATGGAAGCGCAGCAGCAAAAACTCCTGTCTGCGCATGGTGTCAAGGTCAAGGAGCTGGAGCATGCTCTGAAGACAATTGCAGGCTTGAGCGCGGAGGAGAAGCAGCGCTATCCGCTATCGTGGGGAGGAGAAGATTGCGAATGTTCGGCTCCAGTTCCTCAAGGCATTGTCTGGCAGTGCAGGAGATCTTGCTAGTCTCGTTGAGCAGTTCTCCTTGATGTCACCGTCAAAGGGTGCAGCTGCAGCCGCAGCTGCGGAAATCTCGGCAGCTGGAGACAATTCCACTTTGGCTGCAGTTGCAGCTTTGGGAAGCTCCCCTCCATGCAAGCAGTTCAAAGACCTGAGAACATTCGCCGAAGTGGCGTTGGTCAAGGATGCTCTGTGTTCTTGTGACACAGCTGACGACATCGCAGAGCAAAAGAAGGAATTCGCCAGGGCCAAAGCCCCCATCACAGACCTTCTGTCATCGTGCCAGGCCATACCTCATCAGTTTTTCTTGTTTGACATTCACCATGAACCCTGAACACTAAATGTGCCCTAAGCCCTATGCTCTAAATAAACCCGAAGCCCAAGTCCCAAAATCCTGTTTGGCAGGCCGTGCTGAACGACATCAAGAAGGTGGGCAACCTGCTCACAAAGGAGAAGAGCAAGGCCGCAGCCACAAAGGCTAAACCCGGTAAGAAAGATGTCTCCAAGAATGTTGGCCTGCAGCATGTCATCTTCGAGCAGGTGGGTGACTTGTGCTCAAAGATTGCCCACGTGGAGGAAGACAAGATCAAGGATATGGCGTTGGATGCCCCATGCGTCGTGAGATTCGACAATGAGAAGTTGCCCACGCTGTGGCCACCCGAAGCGAAGCTTGCTGTAGGTCAGCTCAAGAAGCTCTTCAAGCAGCAAGGTTCCACATCGCGAGCGGAGGTTGGACTCGACCTCTCCATAATCCAGGCCATCGGCAAGGACCTGCAAGGCATGCTACCTGAGAGCGCGAAGCTTTACATGGGGTTTGTGGCTGCAGTGGCCACAGACAGCAAAGCCCTCTCCTTGCTGTTGCACAAGAACCTCGTGACCACTGCCTTCGTTGTTGCTCCAAACTATGCCACTTTTGCCGTAGAGAAGAATTTCCTTCCTTGCTTGCGCATGGCGTCCGAGGGTGTGCGCATGGTGGTGTTGCTGCCCTACGAGAAAGTGGCTGCGTTTCTTGGTGGCATAGGTGGAGCTCAGCAAGCCACCTCTGACTTCGTGGATGCCAAGACCAAACAGAGTGTGACCCAGTTCCTGAAGTTTTGCAGCGCTGAGAAGTTGAAGGAATTGATTGAGGTCCAAGCTTGCCCCTGCTTCGCAGGCTCAGTGCATCCAACTGAGGCTCTTTATGTTCCAGCCGGCTGGGTTTTCGCTGAGTTGACGAAGGCGGATGTGTCCCTCGGCATCAAGATGCCCTTGCTTGTGAATTCCAAAGCCGCAACGAGCTTCTTTGAGAGAGTGCAGACCTCGGGCGCTGACGCCATGAGCGACCTGGGCCAACTTGCCGCCGGCTACTTGCAGGTCATAAAGAAAGAGAATGAGCGTGCACAGGCTGAGCCCTCAAAGGAGGAGAGGCCTGAGGAAGCCGCAGCAAAGTAGGGAAGTTGACTGAGCCATAGGCCATTTGGGAAATGTGCTCAGTTGTTTTTTTCGCGGGGCCGGGATTGCGCATCCAATGATAACAAATCATTGTATGCTTGACCAGAAGCTGCAGCCTGGTGTTTCTGCCTTGAAAACAGACGCAGACCTTGATCACTGTGCTGTGCCGTTTGTGATGTCTTGTGCGTTCAGCTGTGAGCTGTGATGGGTCATTTGAAAACTTGATGCCTCAAATTGGGTTTCCTGAAGTCTTCATCCCTTTGAGTCCGAGATTGCATTCAGCTTGTCTTGTGCTGTGTGATTCCCAAGTCTCTCATGCGCCTGCGACCTCAGTCCTTGGGTCTCCAATTTTGAGCTGCCCGCGAAACCATAAGTTGAGGCTTGGTTTGAGTTTTTATTGAGGCCACACAGTCTCAGTCTGATAATGCCAGTGCGAATGATGTGCCCATGCATGTTTTTTTGCTTTACTGACTTGCAGCTTAAGACCGCAGATGTGTCAGAGTGCGCGCCTGAAAAGTTTCAGACTGAGGCAATGCCGCGCTACTTGAGCCAGCTAGTGTAACCATCAACTCCAACAAAAACGTTTTCGCCTACGTGGCAAACATGAAAAATGGTTTCTTCCGTGTGACACCCCTGTAGAGTTGTTTCACGCAGAAATTGGACACAGCGTCCTGCGCTCAACGAGTTCCAGGGTCTCGGGGGAAAGGTTCGTTGTCAGTGGGAAGGCTCCTTGCAACAAATGGGTGAAAAGGCGGTGTGGGTCAGAAGGAAAAATAATCCCATTGGCGATTAGGGCGCATTGACTTTGAGGTGGCTGTGTCGAGGATGGGTGATGGCTTATAATTGAGCTGTCGGAAGTGTCTGTTATTCGCCATTGTTTGTTTGAGTTTGTTTTTCAAGCTTGTTTTGCCATTGACCCAGCTGCATGTACTTTCCCAACATTATGGGGTCCTTAGTGTCAGGGGCTGAGAAGCTTCAACCACAACAGGGCCTGGGGGAAGAGGAGTGGAGGTTGTTTTGAGATCAGGGTACTTACGGCTCAGCTCCTCGATGTAGTTACTCTGTGACAGAAGAAGCGTGCCACCGAGCCATCTCAGTTCCATGCCAAAGAACTTTGCCGTGGGATGACCCAACTCACTGATCCACTCAACCTTCCCGCACTTCCAAAGTGAACTCACCAAGTCAAGGAGCAACTCAGCAACCGGGCGAGGTGCCAAAGCCAGGAAATCAT